TAAATGCTTGTTATAAAATGGGGCACATAGCAAAGAAATGCAAGTCCATCACAAACAAGCAACAGCACAAATCTCAACATAAAGTAGCTACCTACAAATATGGTGCTGGTAAGAAACAAAAAGTGACTATCATTGTGGATGTTGCTGCTAGAAGGAACAAAATGGAGACATCTCATCAAAATCATCACGAGAAGGAAGAGCTTCCATCATAATTAAACAGTGTGTGGTTGATTATCAGCTCAAATTAGCAAATGGATCAAAAGTGCCAGTAGTTATCAGAGCATGTGACAAATATTGAGAGGTGCCAAGAAACCATAACATGCTGGTATGTGAAGGCTATTTTGGGGACAAGAGAGTAAGAGTCTACAAGACACTGGGTGCAGCAGTGAGAACCAGTTTAGTATCTAATGACCACATGACAGGCAAGGTACGTCTGTGTTTGCTGAGTGATGGTACAATGGAAAATTTACCATAGCAAGAATAAAGGTGGACACTCCATACTATGTAAGAGACCTTGAAACTATATGTATCTAAAACTTGGTGATCAGCAATATACCAGGCTGTAGAAATTTAACAGAACCAGATAGAAAGGAGACTGATGAGGTATCTGCACTCACCAGAAGAGCTCAAGAGAAGAAAGGCAAGCAAGCTCCTTCAAGACTCAAGAAGTGACTTCCCAAAATGTAGGTCTATGAAAACTGAAGGAAGAGCAGAAGAAAGATCCTTCCCTACAGAAACTTTGAAACAGTGCCAGGCAGAAAGTGGAGCAGACAACTAAAGGGAAGAGGACTTACAGAATAGAGGATCAAAAAGAAAAGTGCTCCACCAGATCTATTAAATCAGTTCTACTAGGGAACGTAAACAGATCATAATAACAACAGAATACCCAACTTGAGTGATGAAGTTGGCTCACAAATTAATTGTGGCAGGACATCTAGGAATAAAGAAGATGGCAAACAGAATCACCACCAACTTCCACTGGTCAGGAGTCATTGAAGATGTCACCAGATTCTGTATGTCACGTGACATCTGCCAAAGGACAATACTAGTAGCCAAGGTGCCATTGGATGATATGCCTCTCATAGAAGAGTCATTCAGCAGAGTAGCTGTAGACTTGACCAGACTACTAGCACTTGTATCTAACAAGGGCAACTGGTACATTCTGACAGTAGTTGACTGCGTAACACGTTATTCAGAAGCCATAGCATTGCTGAAGATAGAGACAGAGAGAGAATTGAAAAAGCTCTCCTGGAAGTGTTCTACAAAAAACGTTTCCCAAAATAAGTCTTGAGTGACAGGGGGATCCAATTTATCTCAAAACTGATGCAAGAGGTGTGTAGACTCATCAGCACTAGGCAACTCTTTTCCACCTCATACAATCCTAGATGTAATGAACTTTGAGAGAGAGAGTCAATGGAATCTTAAAGGGTATGTTGAAGAAGATGTGCCAAGAGAAATCACGTGACTGGTACGGGCACCTACCGACAGTATTATGTTCTTACCAAGATGCCCACAGGCGAGTATAGGATTTTCACCCTTAGAGTTGCTGTATGGAAGAACATTACAAGGCCTAATACAGATATTGAAAGAGCTGTGTACAGAGGAAGGAGAGTCAGATGTGAGGAACACATACTAGTACATGTCAGATTTCAGAAATTGACTAGAGGAGACCCATCAACTCGCTCGAGAGAGCTTGTATGCAGCTTCAGGCATCCAGAAGTACTTCTATGACAAGAAGGTCAAAGATCGACACTTCAAGGTCAGACAAAAGATCTTGGTTCTGCTATCCACATATATAACAAAACAAACTCACCCTGCCATGGAAAGGCCCTTTTAAGGTGCAGATAGGGGTCAACAGAATGGACTATAAGGTGAAAGTGGACAGGGAACAAAGATCTACCACGCCAATATTCTTTAACAGGAAAGAAGACCTAATGGGTGCTGCTATTGAGACATGGCAGATGTAGCTGTTATAAACACAGAACATTAGATTAGATGGACAAATATATCAACATCAGTGAAACATTAATTGGCAAACATAAGAAAGAGTTACAAGATCTATTGTGCCAGTACATAGACGTTTTCACAGATAGACCACACAAGACAGACCTTGTGCAACACGAAATCGAGACCACGACCAGGGATCCAGTCAAGGTGAAGTCCTACTGCAATGAGAGACCTGATCAAGCAGGAAGTCGAAGTAATGTTAGAATATGAAATTATTGAGCCTTCAAAGTCGGCCTACTGTTCACCAGTCATAATCGTGAATAAGAGGGACGGATCAAACCACTTCTGCATAAATTTCTGGACGAAGTTTGACTCCAAGTCCATGGATAACCCAGAGGCTATTATGGAAAAACTAGATGGGGCAAAGTTCTTTTCCAAGATCGACCTCAGTAAAGGTTATTGGCAGAGTCTAAAGAGTAGACAGCATTTGTGACACCAAATGGATGCTACCATTTCAAGAGGATGCCATTTGGATTAATCAACTCAGCATAGAAATTCAACTGCATTATGAGGAAGATATTGCAGTAAAACACCAATATCATGCATTATGTGGATGACATTCTGGCCCATATAAGCAGATGGGAAGACCACTTGAATAAAGTGAGAGAGATGTTTGGTGAGTGAGGTCAGCAGGTCTGACCATCAACCCATCTAAGTGCTACATTGGTTATTCTGTACTGAACTTTGTTGGACACAAGGTACGTTACTGATAGATATTCACGGAAAAGGAGAAGCTAACCTACATACAAGATGCACCAGCTCCAATGACAAAACAGCAAGTTAGATCCTGTCTGGGATTAGTGGAACTACAGAAAGTTTATCCTTAGAATGCCAGACATCAACAAACAATTCATCATTTAAGCTGATGCTTCAGACATTGGAATTGGAACAGTAATTCTACAAGAATATGAAGACAGGCTGTACCAGTAATGTACATAAGTAAGAAACTGTTGGGTGGTGAGAAGAGCTGTTCTTTGATCGAATGAGAATGTCTGGCCAACATGTTTTCCATCCAGAACTACCTCTACCAGAAAAGGTTCATCATTCAGATAGAATATCAACCATTTGCATACATCCAGAGGTGAAAAATCGACAATACGAGGATAATGGGGTGGGCATTGTACTTCCAGAACTATTGTTTCCACATAGAGGCGATCAAGAGACTTGCAAGTATTGGTGCAGACTGTATGAGTAGATTAAGTGCAGGAACTGAGAACGGTTTTTGTATATAATATAAAACAAATATTTTGTATATATTTTTCTTGAAGAGGGGCTTATTGTTAGATATGTATGAGTGTTCATTTCAAGTTTAATACGAGAGTATTGTTTAGTTTATGTAGTACAAATGTTAAAGTAAGTTATTTTTAGAAGCGATAGTTATGGCAAGTTTGCTTACCTAACTGTTTACGAATCATTTGTTGTGTAGTTCAATTGTTGTGAATTGACATCATGTTACTCAAACCTGAATTTTTCTCGTTGCTTTAGTTAAGTATTGTTGCATCATATAATATCTAGTAGTGTGTAGAAAGTTGCTGCCAAGAACATATATTTATAGGTGTCGAAAAATTCAATAAAAAAAGAGATAAATATAGATATAGACTGGGTGATCGTGAGTTTAGCCATAAAGAGTATTTATTGGTAACTTTTAAAGTGTAATAATTGCAGATTGTATTGTAATAACAGAGTAGATAAGAATAATTCGTCCTGTCTATTGGGTTCTAAAGTAACTGAACCAGTCTGTTTGGATTTTTGACGAATAATTTAAAGCTCTGGATTCAATTGTAGTGATTAATATACAAACATTTGTATATCGTTTGACTTATTTTAATATATTATTTTTAAAACAAGTGGGCTGTGTGCTATTTGTTTATCGTTGAAATTTATCGCCAACAAGTCACAGACACCTACTGTAAAGAATCGCGGCCCTATAAAACCTAACATCTTCTAATTTTATTTATTTTTAATAAACACCTGACTTGGTTTTGTTCTCTTAAATTTTTGAATACCTTCGTTTTACAAGTTGAATTTAGGCTAAGGTAAATCACTTAGCTTTTTTCTGTAGAAGAAACGTTTCACATCGTTCCGAAATAAAACCCTCTTCAATCCCCAGTCTGTAGTGTTGACCACGCCCCTGTACGTATGTTTCCTTTTGATTACTCTATAAGTTAAAAAACTAACAGAAGATTAATAAATAATATTTTGAAACCTTTTTTGGAATTTGATGTTATTCCTTGTCCCAAATTACTAATTGCTTGGCGACAAAGCGGCCCGGCCCACTTGCTCGATTTGAACAATTGTGCCTGTATGCGACGTCTTCTGGGTATCAGCGGAGAGAGAATTAGCTCGTTAAGAGTTGCGTCATAAACAGGAAAACTGGGGAACGCTTATAACGAGAAACTCACCTAATTCACTTGTTCAATTCAAACAGCAAGCATTCAACGTCATGTACTTTAAAATATGCTTGATCTGGTGCCAAACCTGCATTGGAACTATCTGTAGGAGTGGTTTTGTGTTAAGGTAACAAAATTTGTGCATAGTAATATTGAACTAAAATTGTTGCTTTTTGAATTTCGCTCAAAGCAACACAAGGGCATAGTTATCCCTAATTTTGAAATGATAAACTAGAGGGAGGATAATAGCACCCACTACCAACTCTGTGACTACTTTTGTTTAACCGAATAATACAATTTGACCATCACTTTTATAGATCATCCACCATACCAAAGTGCGGAGTGCGTTTTTGCGACAACAGGACTCGAAACATGAATAGTTGAAATAAAATTTGTAATTAGCAAGATTTATAAAAGGGAGCTTGATAGTCCTGGAATATCTTGATTGTTCTACCGGTGATGTAAAGACGTCCATTATTTAAGTGTGCAGTGAAAGTATTTAATTTCAAAGTTATAATGATCTTATTTTTTTAAACAGATCAATAACTTTTACATTCCATGGTACTCAACTTTATCAAGTTTAATGCAGACAGTTCTAAACTTCTCGTTTAGCGATTTTTGAAGCGTTTGTTTGTTTTGAATTTCGCGCAAAGCTACACGAGGGCTATCTACGCTAACAGTCCCTAATTTAGC